CGGCTGCATTCTGGACTAATTGGAGTCTTTGAACACTCTTCAAGGGCAGCCCCGTGTAGAGCGCATTACAATAATCCAATCCATTTGTTTCAAAAATTATTTCTCTTTGTATGGAATGATATTTCTCTTTGGTGTACAACTTTAGTCATTCTGGTGCAGTTCCCCCTGCTTTTTATTGATGGCTGCCACTGCTCGCTTTTGTCAACGGCTACTTAAAATCCTTCCACGGTTTCAGGTTCGCGAGGCGGTTCCTTTACGGTCTGACGGCACCTGAACCGTTCCGCTAGACAAAGCGATTCAGGCGCGCTTATAATAAATCAGTCAAAGACCGCGTGCTCGCTTACCAATCCACTGATCCCGGACGCAGGAAAAGAACTGAAATCCACAGAGGATGAGGGCATGAGCTGAAATTAGAGCTATGTACATCTGGAAAAGAAGGGAAGACGCAGGCATCAATCGTCAGAATCTCTTCAACGCCTTGACATGTCTCCTTCCTTTATTTCTCATCTGTCTTCATTTCTTTCAGGGGTGTCAAACTCGATTTCATTGAGGGCCACATCAGGGTTGTGTTTGACCTGGTGGAGTGGGCTGCAGCCCTCTGCCAGCAAAAACGGAGCTCAGGAAAGCCATGTGCGGCCAACCCAGGCTCCGTTTTTGGCCACAATGGCTTCCTGCAGCCTTCTGCAAGTGAAAACAGAGCCTGAGTTGGCTGCACATGGCTTTCCTGCGCTCCGTTTCTGCTGACAGAGGGCTGCAGGAGGCCGTTGTGGCAGAAAATGGAGCCCAGGCGGGCCACACGTGGCCTCCTCCGTTTCTGCTGCCAGCGGGCTGCAGGAGGCCATCGCGGGAGAAAACGGAGGCCAGACGGGCCGCACACAGCCTCCCCGAGCTCTGTTTTTGCTGCCAGAGGCACAGCGGGCTGGTCCTTCGCTGCTTCCGTGGCGGCCCTGTGGACAGATCTAAGCACCCCACAGGCCTTGTGATTTATTTTCTCCATTTTTGGAAGCTGCCTGATTCCCCATTGATTTGAGGCAGCTTAAAACAAAAATTAAATGCAATCTATGCCTATCGAAAAAATTAAAATAAAATAAAAGGGACAGAGCTAATCACAAGATCCTCCCCCACCCCCCAAAAAAGTTCAAACAGCAAAACTAAAAAGCCCACCCTCCATTTCTAACCCAAGGAAGGTCTGAGAAAAAGCCAAAAGGGTCCAGAGATAGAAGAGAGAATATTTCACAAGGCAGGCACCATCAGCCAAGGAGGTGATATCGGCATTAAAACACCAGCAATATTCTGACTTGCAAATTTAAATGTTCCGCGAACGTTCACTCCCTCTTCCCCGATTTACCAAAAAACGAAATCACAATGCCTACTCACAGTAAAAAGCACAAAAAACCTCTGGTTCCTCTCCCCTACGCAGTTGTTCACCCACGGACAGTGATGATCCATCTTCCGAATGCATCGTTTGCAAATACTGATGGGATTTAAAAGGAAAAAAACAAGTGAGGGGCCGGGGGGTGGTGATGTGTATTTTGTAGCTGAAAGTAGAACCCATTTTTTTTTTAAAAAAAAAAATCCAAGGTATTTGCATACGGCAAACAAGCCAGATCTATTTCCTCTTTTATAAACAGGAACAAAACTTTATGAGTTTTGAGCCAAGGTGGCGCGGTGGTTAAATGCAGCACTGCAGGCTGACTGCTAGATCAGCAGTTCAGCGGTTCAAATCGCAACGGTTCAGGGTTGACTCAGCCTTCCATCCCTCCGAGGTGGGTAAAATGA